GTAAAAACAAAACTTTAAAAAATCATACAAAAAAAATAATAAATAAAAAAAAGGATACCAAAAAACAAAGGGAACGATCTAATATTCAAACATGATTGCATTATTGTATGGCTTTCTACTTACCATATTCTTATTTCCAACCTCATAAAAAAAAAGAAACCACTATAACTAGTTTGACCTAGTCATTGCATCTCCAGGTTACTTTCCAGGACATAAGCCAAATGTGTTTCTATTTACTTATGCAAAGGGACACATAAGGCCATTAAACCAAGCCGTATTGGTTGCCAGAGTTTAATGTAGACTGGAACGAGTCTATTTGGGATCACAGCACTTATTTTCAAAACGATCCGTAATTTATTTAAAGCTGTATATGTATTTGGAATGAAATATATGCAAGAAAACACAAAAAAAAACTACTTTAGTTACAGACTTATCCACCAAAGAGTTTTCATTTTATCTTTTCTGTTGTTTCTCAGGACAGAATAACAGTTTCCTGTTTGTTATCTGTGTTCTCTATAAATGTGTAAGGATGTAATTACGCTTAAACACTAAATATTTTATTTTACCTCAGTATTCCTTTGTAATATTAACCCATGAAAATCCAGGTGGTTGGAAAGTATTATATTGTGTTTGGAGATTAGATTCAATTGTTTATGCAACCATATGTTTATTTTATACCAATCAATATGGAAAACCATAATAAAGCTAAAAGGAAACTTCAAATTGTTTTCTTGTCCTATATTAAGTAAATACGAGTTGATTGTTGACTTTGATATACTTTTTGACTGATCCTAATCTTGGTCATACCGGCCTTCATACTACTAACCATGTCTTACACAGTCTATTCTTGTTTTAATATATTTTGACCTTTCTTAATATGACATATTTTACAAGTTACATGAACCTTGTGTTGAAAACAGTGGCGAAGCAAGCAAACAATGCCGCGATAGTTCTACAAAAAAAAAAAATCTTACTTTGAGAAGTAAAACATTTGCAGAGCAGTTGTAAAGAACATTATTTTGATTTAGTACTAAACCACTGGGGAAATCAAGTTTTATTTATTCTGCATCCTTTACATAATGTTTGAAGAACGGTTTATTTTGTCAATATTTTGGGTGAAAAATCCATTATACACAAACTAGATTTGCAGTAACTGTCGTATGTGTAGAGTGGGTTTTTCTACAGAATCAGTATTCAATTTACAAAAAAATGTTTCTTAACTGAAGTAAGTAATGTTTTGTAGAAGATTATGGCAGTTAATTACTGAAATTGTAGAGCTAGAAAAGATGCCAAATAGACAGATCATGGTTCTCCAAAAGTTTAAATGGCGACAATAAACAACAAACCAAGCTCATTGCAAAAGGTTGCTGGCAATTATTGAAAGATAAGTTCACATCTTGCAGTTTATGCATAAACTATCATTGAAAGGTTCTATTTGATGGCGATAATTGAAAAAGGCACTTAGAATTCAAGTTTTTTTTAAAAATTCTATCAGGGATATATGTTGGGAGAATACAAACGCGTTTTCGATTGTGAAAATATTCTTTCAGATGCCCTCCTAAAAACTCGCAGAGAGACCTGTACACGTACTCTATTAGTAGAACAGTTATTCGAAACTGAGGTGCCCTGGACTTTAAGGATATTAATGCTACGTGTAATCTAATAAGAATAAAATATTACAAATGAACATCTCATTAATATAGACAATTTTATTCTACGTCAATATCTGTGTTAATGTCATTTTACCACACATTCCCTGTCTTAGTAAAACCAGTGATGTAGCCATTGTTATGTATGGGGTGCCAAACATTTCGATGAATATTGATACCCGAAATGGATTTGTTCTGTGAAAACCTTCATTATATATCCCCAGGCGTCTTGAACTATTCACTTTTGCAAGTTACTTGAACAAAACTTTTGGGCAGTTGGAGGAGAGGAGGGATGGTTACCACTATACTAATTTTACTCTATATTGTGCCTTTAACTGTTAAAATCAAATTTGGCCATGGGTAAGTGAACATAAATTGTCCTTCGAAGATGGTCTCCTTGTGTCTGACGTTATGAAAAAAGAAGAAAGATCGAAGTATTATAACGAAAGTATAAAACATTGATATACACAGATACGCAAAACAAAAAGGGAGAGAGAAAAAAAGAAAAAAACACAGGTTGTGGATTTAAACACATGCTCCCGCACGTGTCTAGCCTAAATGCGTCACGAATACATTCCAGCACAGTCGTAGAAAAAGACAGCATATAAACTATGTGCTGTATAGGGTTTTTATTATCTTTCTAACTGAAAGTTTATTACTTCAGTTATTAAACTAATAAATTAGTTATTAAACTAGTTATTATCAGTAAATTTCCTAAATCTGACAATTATTCTTTTCCTTAGTAATCATGAAATTAAAAAGAGAAGATAAAATAATAAAATGGAATTAGATAATAAAATAATGTGTTAAAATGAAACAAGGATTAGAATGTAAAATAGAAGAATAAAAAATATAGAATGAACAAAGTTGATGAAGGGATAAAACAAAATAAAACAATTTAAAAAAAAAAAATTATGATAATAAAAACTCTGAATATAAAACGAAATAAGACCATATAAAATTAAATGAAATGCAATTAGATAGAATAATATAAATGACGACGATGATGACAATGTTGATGACTATTGATGCTGATGCTGGCGATGCAATGCTGGTGATGGCAATGTTGTTGATATTGATGATTGATGATTGATGATGACGACGACGATGAGGACGATATGATGATGATAATGATGACGATGACTATGATGAAATTATCAATTATATCAAATTTAGAATAAAAAATAATCAAAATAGAAATATAAGAAATATACAATAAACAATAATAATAATAATAATAGCATAGATAATAATAATTATTGATTACAACAATAGTAATAATAAGAATAATTATCATGATAATTACAACAATAATTTAATAAAGATAATGGCACTGCCAGTCGCCACATCATTGACAATGACATTGCTAAGGTTAACGCTAATGACGGTGACATCAGTAACAACAATAATAAAAGCTGTGATAATAACAGTACTACTAATAATGAAATTATAAACTTGATTAATTAATTGATAAAGCAATAAAAACAATAAACAATAATAAAATGCAACAATAACATAACAGGATAAGATAATTATTGTGATAATGAGAACGATAAAATAATCCTACCGATAATAACAATAACAAGAAAAACAATAATGATATTAATGTCGATAACGATAATAATGAAAATGATACAAATGATAGATTTAACAACAATAACAATTATCACAATAATGATAATTATCACCAAAATGACTATTACTAAAATGTTAATAACAGCAAAAACAATAACAATAACAAACCAAAATAATAACATGAAATAAATAATCAAATGACTAAGGTATACAGTAAGTGTAAAGAAAGCGCCTTGTGTACAGGTACTTGGTTGCAGAGAAAGAACCGAGTTACTAAATGTTATTAATAAATCAAGTATACACTGGATGTCGTAATAGATCCCTTGATTATATTGAAGAGCCTTACGGTATCTTTTGGAAATTAAAACGTGCTTCGGTATTTTTTTCCGATGCCGTAAGGTTTGAAAATCTGTTACGTACCTGTGTCTTTGCGTTGATTACTTCGTCCCTTACCTGTCCGTTCTTGCTTGCGAACACCCACGTCTTTAGCACCACCCGTTTTCTGTGGGACTTTGGTCTTCTCTTTTGTAGATTTCCAGAATCAGTAATATTAATTTCTCAAGTATTTGAGGACAATTCTCACTGGTCAGTGAGAATGGGAATAGCTATAAACGAATGTTAGTATTTGGTATTGTAACAAGCTGCTTCAAATTGGTTTTACATTACAAACTTTTCACTTCCCTGTCGGCATAGAAAAGACTCCGTTCGTGTAAAACTTTTATTTCACACTTTGTACATAAGAACAATATATTTTGATAACAATATTCATGTATAATAATGCGGGGTGGTTCAGGACTGCTACAAACGAGAAGCAGATCTCCGTCCTGCCGCACGACCATATGTTCCAGCTTGTCTCACACAGTTGTTGTTGGTGAGGCCGATGACGCAACCTCTCACTGCGGCATCAAGGGGTGTCCTGTATGATTACGTCACTAACATTTTTGAGCTATATTCTTTAGAATATGGATTATTATTTATCCTTTTCACTAGGTTTTGAATTTAAGTGACCAACCTGCATTTTTGATTTACTTGAAGTGCACTTTTATTACATGCAAGGGGGAATACTTACATTTAATGATTTGTCTTAATGGTAAATAATATGTAGTATAAAATACTGTGATTTGATTGAAATCTGATTATCATTTACACCATTATAAACACTGTGCTTATGGCAGGGATAACAGACATAGAGGGTTTAGCTAATGATAAATCATTGCAGCAATTCAAGTTTCTAAACCACACTTACACAGTTACTCTTATTACTTTAGGAATGCTGAGAACAGGGAGGATAAAATTCACTCTACCTATTAGAACAATGCATAGTAAATATCTCTCAACAATTCAAATGTAACGGTAAGTAGAAAGTTAAGTTTTGATTATATTTGATAATTATTTGATTTATATGAATCTTGTCACAGAGGAGGACTTATGCTATTCATATGCAGACTCTCATAGAATAATACTGTATTACAGATCTATCAACAGAGATGCGAACTGTGGAGGAGGAGGTTAAGAGCTGTTAAGATCTCGTCAACATCAGCGGCGCAGGAAGGAGACGCTGTCAGGGGCGTCGCTGAGCAGTTCTGTCCCACACCACAACAACCATCGTCCTGGCACGCCCACACGCAGACACAAGGGCATGGGTGAATAGTCCTGCACCCACAGCAGTAACTGACAACGTCTAGACTATGGAGTTGCAGAGTGACCGGGTGTGTGTGAGTGTCTGTCGGCGTGAGCGTGGCGGGAGCACTGACCTGTTAGTAACAATATAGACAAGGAGAAAACGTAGGCGAGAAAAAAGTTGCCGCAGCCTTGACCACATTCTAAAAGTGTGTTGTCCTCTGCTCCGCTGCTTCCTCTGCTGCGTAAGTCGGCCTTGCTGGTCCTGAGAGTCACCCGGGGCTTGACGTGTACCCGCTCACAGACGGCGTGGTTGGATTCCGCGCTGAACTTGCTCCTTCAGTCGAACCACGGACCAAGCAATTAGACTTGCGTGTTTTTTTATGAACACTGGTTAATGCCATCACTAGATTATTTTTCATAAAGTTTTTGTGACGACATTAACATCAGCGTTGTACAATTAGGACACGGTCAGGACAGCAAGAAAATTGGCCGGCGCCCCAAGGCCCCGGTCCTCGCCGTCCCGTCCGCACAAGGTCCCGGCTCCCGGCCCACGATGCCCTTCCCTCGTTTCATGTGCACATGCCTTTGCAAGGTCAGCCTTTCATTGTTCACAACCGTAGCACATGTTCACACTGTTTAACTTCATCTCCGCGGTGCGGCGATCACGCCAGGTCGCAGCGACGGACATCGTGTGGACGAACAAGGGGGCACGGGACGGCGCGGGATGCCCGGGGCACAGGCCAGTGATGGAGGGCTGGGTCGAGTTGGTAGTTAGTTCAGGAGCCTGCCTGACTAGTCTACGTGTTAGAAAAAGTGAAGATACAGAATGGTCGCTCGCACGCACGGGAACCACTTGTCCAGTGCCATTTGGGGCTGTGAGACAGTAGAGTCCTCGGCAGGTATTCCGGCGCAATCGCTGCCTCGGGAATTGAATTCAGATCAAAGTTAATCACCAAGTTCATCTAATGGCGTGAATGGAACGTGTTTTCTTCTCTGGAATACACTGTAATTAATCATCTTTGCGACGAAAGACGATCGCGAGGACTGTACCGTCAGCAGAACATTTACAGCCCTTCGTTCTCAAGCTGCAGGTGATCTGCCAGCCAGTGAAGGAGTGTGTATGTGTGCAACTTATCTCTCTCTCTAATGTGTTATGATAACCAACAAGACACAATTTCTTCTTTTATCTATTAACTGTTATACGTACATGGCACTGAGACCGCAGACGCCCGCGATCTCCCTTTGTTGGCGTGTTCCGTGCACGGGGTCACTGGGCTCACACCAGGCCGGTCGTGCCTTTGCGAGCGACCAAGATAGTAATGTGATTATAAAGAGTCTTGGTTCAGAGTGGCTACACGGGTGGTGAATATAATAACAGGCGGCTGCATAACCAATAGCAGGTAAAAAATAACAATGTTTACAAACATCATCTCCTTCACACGGTTCTTAGGCTGCCATTTACTCAGTCGGTATTAACTTAGCAACAAAAATCATACACATTTTAGGTCTGCTCAAAGAAAAACTGTATAATCACAAAACTAGAGCCTATTTATCAAATATACTGTATAATGCTCTATGATAATATTAACTATGATATATTTCAACACTGGCTATGAAACTAAACTCTGGAGTTATGCAGACTGGGTTTGTACACACAGTTATTGACATTATTGTCGGGGCCATGACGGGTCATGACAGGTCCATGACATTATCATGAAATGTCAAGATAGGCCATGACAGTACCATAACAGGTCATGACAAGTCCATGAAATGTCATGATTGGCTATGTCAGGCCATGAAAGTCATAACACCACAGCAAGGCCATGGCTGAGTTATGACAAGTCATGAAGAGCCATAACATAGCCATGCCAGGTCATGACGGGGCCATGAAGCCACCAGTAACAACGCTACAGTGGCGGGCGGGGAAGGTGGGGCACAGCAGGGCACAGCAGGGCATGGCAGGCACTGCCGCAACTACAGCCTACAGCGTACGGCCTCACGCTCGCACCTTCCCCGCGCGACACCAGCCCAGTCTCGCTCCTCAACTTTACACACTTTTACCTATGCAAAAATACATTTTTATTTGCTGAAAACCCCCTGAGTGGGATCAGCAGCGTAATGTTAGAGGCTGGAATATGTCAAGCTACATGGAACCAGCTGCAGTAACTCATGGCGAGCGTGGGACACTCCAGGCGGTCTTTCATCCAATATAAATGTAGCTTGGCATATGCAAACTAGTCGGGGTTGATTGCTTTATCTCGGCCGTACTTACACGAGGCTTCACAAGCCACAACCCTAAGTGTACACGGGTCACCCATGAGGCCAGCCCGTAGGCCCAGCTGGAGTTCACACATACCCACTGTGTTCTCACGTGTGCGTATATGGGGGTGCGTCTAGATGTATGACCGTGGGGCCCTTGCTGCCCACCCGCTGCTTGGTCGACACGGGTGGAAAGAGAGGTACCAGGCCTACACACTGTCTCATGGCAGAGGGGAACGCAAGGAAGAGGGGAGGACCATTATGATAATGGGCGAGAATGAAAGAATAGGGCACGGAAGGATACAGGTGTCACGACGGAGGAAGAGGTAGGGGGAAGGGGAAAGGGAAGGGGGAGAGAAGACGAGGTGAGAGTGTCACATATGCATGTCAGAGGGAAAGCATGTTATAGGTAACATGCACGTGTGGTGTGTTGAGGCAGTGTGGTGCAGTGAAGCAGTGTAGACTGTGTGGTGAGGTGATGCCTTGTGGTGCAGTGATGCACTGTCTAGTATGGCGAGACAGTGCAGTGCAGTAACTCGCTGTGAGGCAGTGCTGAGTGTGGTATTGCTGTGTAGAAACATGTCATCAGTTTTCTTTAAGTGTGTGACAAGACGTGTCAGAACTTTCATGTGAGAAAAAAACAAAACAAAACTGAAAGGTTGTGTTCCACTAACTGTACACGTGGTATGTAATGGTCTTGCATACCTGCAGTGTAGCTTGTAAATACGTGTGGTTGTTGAACTGTTGTGCGGATCTGATCCGCTAGGCGTGTAATAGAGCTATATATGGCTAAGAGGCATTATTTAATGCTGGTGTACACTGTGCTGTCAAGAATATCAGGTTGTATTCCAATTCTAAGCTATCAAAGACAGTGCATTGGTGACGACACATTCAAAGCAGGGAAATGGAGCATGTTAACAGTGTAACAAGAAAATAAGCCTAATTCAACTTAAAAAGTACGTTAGATCTAATTAGTATTCCTGGACTATATGTAATAATGTTAACTCAAGTACGTGATATATAATGCACAAAAAAGTGCGAATATAAGATTACACTTTACCACCATTAAAACTAAACTACTAAAACACTCAAAGAACGATTTTCCTTTGAGGAAAATAAAACTAGTTGGCGACTGCTGTCCCAACCTAAGATTTACACAAGATGTGCAAATTTCAAGAAGGATCTAACCTCTACATGAGGAGAAATAAGAAAGAGTAAAGCCAGAAGGAAAGCAAGAAAATGAAAATCAAACCACGATAAGTGAGAAAATAAAGACAAAGATAACACAGGATATCGGTGACAGTAACGAACAAAGGCTAAAAGAGACACTTGAAAGACATGTACAGTCATCCTGTAGTACGAAAAAAAGGAACAGTGTTCAACAGAGAAGAAAAAGTGGGAACTAAGTGCATGTTCTTGATATACAGAAAGGTTTCTGTAAATGAAGGAAAATGTAGAAGAGTTATGTGATCTGTCAGAAGGAACAAAAGGAGTGTGAAGATGTGCAGAGCTATGTTGAATGTTCTTATATGCATGGTTAGCACTGGTTTCTGGGAGGGTGTCAAGGAAGAGAGTTTGTATGGGAGAACAGTGTGGCGTACAGCATAAGTAGGGGTTGCATGTAGTGTGCAGGATTTACGTGTACTGGTGATGTAATATGTGCGAAATGTAGCATGTGAGGAAGGTATCATGTAATGTGGTAACACTGGGATGACAGGACACATCACTCGAAGCGAGACGTACCCAAGACGAGTGAAGGGAGAGCGGGAACATGACATAATCCAAAAAAGGGAAACGATTAAACCCAAATCGAAAAACGGGACAATGAAACCAATAAAACAAGTGAGGACGAGGGTGAGGGCATAACAGAACCGAAGAAAGGGCTAGAAGTATTGAGCAGATGGAAGAGGGTGGGGGCGCCCCCCACTGTGTGCCGGGGCTACATCACAGGTATGGCATAACTTCTCACAGTTGCGTCATAGCCATGTCATAGTCGAGGCTCAACACATTTAGCAGGATCCATGGGATCTAGACTTTACGCGAGCATCCTGCAGGAGCCCGTGATCATCTTAGCTAGTACTGTACAGAGAGCAAGCAGGGAGGCTGCCTACTCCGGGGGGAGGGGGGGCCGCTTTGGCACTCAGGGAGGGCATCGGGTGTCAGGAGAAACTGGCGAAGGAGTGTCACTGGGTAGGGGTGCCGGGGTTATGGTGTGAGTGTGGGCAGGGAGGGAGGGGAGGGAGGGAGGTAGGGAGGTAGGAAGAAGTGGTCAGAGGGCGCACAGACCAGCGAGTCTCGAGAGGCTCCTGGCTTCAACAGTCCCAGGTGGTGGATCCCAGCTTCAACATTCCTAGAATGGTGAAGCCCTTTACTTCAATGGTGCTGGGTTAATGGGGTGCCCATGGCTTCACCAGTCCCGGGATATGGAACCTTAAGCTTTAACAGTGCCGGGTGGTGGGCCCAAAGGCTTCGATATTCCCGGGTTGATGGGGCCCCTGGCTTCAACAGCGACACGTTCGGGCGCTGCGCACACGTCTGAAGCCCAACCCCTACTGCTACCCAGCATAACAAGCCTCGCACGCAGTGGGCCGCAGGCGGGAGTGTGAGTCCCCCTCACACAGCGGCAGCGACCCGAAGTGAGGCCGTAACATGTTTGTGCGCATTACTAGTACACTTGTAAGTCTCAAGAAGAGTTTATCCATATTATTTACATGAATAATCCACTCTGCAATAGCACAAGGTCACCCGCCATGCCCAGGTGAGAAAGGTAGATTGCATCCGGTCTTGCGGACAGCGTGGGTGGCCTCGCGTGCGTCGAGTGGCTCATGTGTCAGTTTTGCATATTTATTACGCCCGCGCCTCAGCGTAGGCTTCTCTTGTCCACCAGTCACACCACATAAAAGTCTTCATAAAACTTAGTATCTACGGAAACAGGCTATGCATTGCGTACAAACTGTATTATGCACTAGTGAGCTACACCCAAAGACTACTATGTCCGCTAACCACGTAATGATTGTATCTGGAGAACACGTCATATAGCTTTTAGACGCCTTCACGTTTGGATTAGATTCCTCGCCGGCGAAGTTGCAAGAACCGGAGATGTTGGGGCGCGAGGAGGCGAGAGTCGCTCGGCACGGCTACTGGTGCTCCCCGTCCAGGGCGGCCAAGTACTTGTCCTCGATGACCATGGGGACCAGACGGTGCCTGGAACCAACGGCTGGGGTTAGACTGATTAAATGTGCAACTGAATACTCTTAAAGACGTATTGACGTCATTGGTAAATACTGGTAACAAGGTGCTAATACTAAATAATAGTGTCTGAAGCATTTATACTTTTAACTTTATACAGCGCCTACAATGTGATCCCTGTGTCTGTTCAGATATAGCTGTTGACTATGACTAACATTCACCAAAGGCATTACCAAGCTTCTGTGATTATTTTCAGAAGAGAAGTTACCGAATTCAGACAACCAACTTTCACATGCACTGCCACCAAGATAAAACAAAATCACAGAGACCGCGAGGTCACGATCTCCGGCAAACGCCCACATCATCCGTGATTTTGATGAGACTATGAACTGATCTAAAAACAAACATCAAAAGGCCCTCCCCCGCCTCACCTGATGGGCATGAGAAGCAGCAGCGCCACGGGGAACATCATCTTCATGTACGGCCACGGAGCGAAGCCTAAGGAGCACATGACGAGGAGCTGGATCACCTGCAGGAGTGTGAACTTGTGGATCTTCCGCTGCGGAACTCGCCGGATGTAGTGGTTGGGGGGATACGCGGCCTGAGGAGAAGAGGGGCGTGAGGGCGGGCGGAAAAGTAGCGGTCGGGGGCTTGGCTGGGGTGAGGGAAGGTCTCTCGGAGGTCTACGTCGTCGTGTTGGGAAGTGGGGAAGGAAGGACTGGGTTGAGGGTAAGCGTTCTGGGGGAAGTGAGAGGTTTGGCTCCGGGAATTCTGAAGTGCTTTTGAGACTGCATCGGATACAGACTCATGGTGAGCGCTGAAGAGTCAGAGGATATCTTAATGGAAGTAAGCAATCCAGATTTATTTTTCTTAGGTTTTGTCAAAGTCATGTCATGGAAACAGACATGGTGCGAAACTAACTAGAATTACTTCTACTGATTAAATAGTCAAGTAATTTACTGTTATCTAATTACTTATCAACATATTGTCAGGTTAAAGTCAAAGTCATTTACGGATAGCAAATCAGTAATCATCTACCTTATGCAAATACGTATTGCATGTAATTTGTTCTTAATGACTGAACAACAAAGTCTTGTCCTGAAACGCAATTCACACAAAGTGAAATACCCGATAATAGAATCACTTTAACGAATGAAGCATCAACACCACAGACACTGGCACCATCAGCCTACATCAGTGCCAGAGGCCCTTCTTCCCCCTCGCAAAAAGGCCCCACCAGCGCCCCTCACCTGTTCCATGAAGAGCAGAGTGATCCTCTCAAACATCTGGTTCCCGTTGAGTGCCGTGACGGCCATGTAGAGGAAGAGGCCGTCCAGCACCGCCGTGGGGATGTAGGCGAGGGGATACGGGAGGAGGAAAATGGACAGGCCGATCAGGATGTTGGAGAAGAGGCCCGTGAGTCGCGTCTCTCGGACCTTGACGATGCTGTTGGGGAGATAATTCTCTTAGAGATATTGGTTCCTTTATCTCCCGTTCGGTTTGTGGGGAGATAATTCTTTTAGTCTGAAGAGATATTGGTACCGTTATCTCCCGGTTTGTTTGTGGGGGGGATTCCCCGGTAATGATACTTTAGATTGGTAGAGCCGATTGGGCGGGAAAAGTTTCTCAATATCCGCCAAGAGTTTTATTTACATTATGTTCGTTTCCCTTCGACGTGATGCGGGGAAGGATCGTGAATGGAAAAGCGAACAGATAAACATCAAGAACAAAATGAAGTATGGGGGAAGAGAGGGATAAATGGAGGAAAGGGAGAAAGAAAGGATGAGCGAACGACGCTGATAAATAGAAAGATGGAAGGGAAGAGAAAGAGGAAGAACCGTTGCGAAGGAAATAGCGAAAGCAAAACCGAGAGGAGTGAGTGAGAAAAAAGAACGATAAATTAGGAAGAAAGAAGAAAGATTAAGAACTAGAGAACAAGAGGGAAAGGAAAAGGGAAATAGGGAAATAGGGAAAGAAGGAAAGAAGGAAAGTAGGAAGAAAGGAAGATGAAAGATTAAGAACGAGAGAACGAGAAAATCAAGGAAGGGAGGGAAGAAGGAAGAAAGAAAAAAGGAAATAAATTGACAAAAAAGAAAAGAAAAGGGAAAGACGAAAAATGAAAGAAAAAACAAAAACAAAAACAAAAGCAAGCTCGAAAGAAAACAAGGAAGAAAGCGAGAAAGAAAGAAAAAAATAACCAAGCAATCAAGAAAGGAAAAAGAAAAAGAAACAAACCAAGAAACAAGTAACAAACCGACCAAGAAAGCAAGAAAAAGGGAAAACGAGAAAAGAGACGCTCGCTGCTCACATCTCGTAGACGTGTCCCTGCTCGACCCGCTCCTCCACGTCGGCGAGCGAGCGGACGTGCAGCGGCGAGTGCGGCAGACACGCGTGCATCCACGGCAACCCGAAGATGGACAGGAACCCGTTCATCAGCGCCACCACCAGGAGGTCCAGGTGGTACGCCGGGCCCTTCCTCAGCCTGGGGGGGAGGAGGGGTTAGACCGTGGGAGGGGGTATGGGCGAGGGAGACGAAAGTAGGGGAGACAGTCACATTTATATTCTCTCTCTCTCTCTCTCTCTCTTTCTCTCTCACTCACTCACCCACACACACATACACACGCACACACGCACACGCACAACACACACACACACACACACAACACACACACACACACACACACACACACCACAACACACACACACTCACAAACAAACACACACAAACACACACACACAAACACCAGAGAATAAAACAAAATCCCAAACAGGCAAACGTGACCATCCCCAGACTCACTTATTGCACGGATTGTTGACCATGGCCGAGCCGATGTTCTGGTCCATGAAGAACAGCATGGAGAGCGAGAAGCCGAGGCCCATGCACGCGAACACGGCGGGGACGGGCAGGCTGTAGAGCGGCGCCAACTTGAACACGTCGTAGGAGTCGTCGTAGCGGAAATGTTCCACTGGAGAGCGCGAGAAAGGCGGTTAGGTTTTTTTTTTCCCTTTCTCGATTTGTTGTTATTATTATTTTTTTTGGGGGGTAGGGTTATAAAAAAAAATTGGGGGGGGCTTTTTTTAAGTGGGACTCGAGGTAGAAGTGGTTACAGTTTTTTTTTTTTTAAGTGGGACTCGGAAGTACAGGTGGTTATTATGGCAGCTTGTAGGGGAGAGAAAACAGTTTGGGAATCATGGATATGCTATCAGGTGATTGCTAGTTATATAAATAATTTGGCGACATGCACTACTTTCTTAGCTCTTGTCGTATCACTACAAACAAAGTCATGAAACTGAACTAAATTAATTAAAAGAACATATCAAACAAACGAAAACTGATAAACTAAAATTAAACTAAAAAGTGAAAAAAAACTAAAAACAAAAACAGAAGCGACGACAGGTTCCATGGGCGGCCATGTTGTCCACTCAGCGCCTCATGGAAGTGTTAATGTCTAGTCTGCATTACGTAGCATAACATGGCTCCGCCCACGCCACGCCCACACCCCGCCTAGTCCCTCGCCGAGCCCCGCCCACTCTCCCACAACTCAGGTGAACCGCGGGAGAAACATGCAAGGCGGAGATGGGCCAGGTGAAGGGGCAGGTGAAGGGGGCGTGGCGTGGGCGAGGGTCACGTGATCGCTAGGGAATCAGCAGCGGTGTAGGAGACTGGCGTGGAAACCGTCGTGGGCTGGACAGCACGCCCATGCGCCCACGGGTGAAGCCTAATGCCAGAACTTACTCTCATTCTTAACTGAAACAAAAGGAAAATACGAACAAAAATGAGAAAAGGACGCGTGGCTTTGGGACACTTGGTGATGTGAAGAACAAAACGGTAACAAGCGGAACTAAAGGGAAGATGTTGGGTCACTTTCATGAACATGCGAACTTGCATTTTCATTTCAACTTGGCGCTCATTCGACTCACGTCATTTCAACTCAACTCACTCACTCACTCACTCATTCGCTCATTCGTTCGCTCTATCTCACTCACTGGCTCTCACTCACACTCACTCACACAACTCATCACTCTATCACTCACTCACTCACTACTCACTCACTCTCATATCACCCTCACTCACATTGCACTCACTCACTCACACACACTCACTCATCTCTATCACTCCGCTCACTCACTCATTCGCACTCACTCACTCTCACTCACTCACTCATTCGTCTTCGACTCACTCACTCACTCATTCGCTCTATCACTCACTCACTCATTCGCTCTATCACTCACTCACTCATTCGCTCTATCCCTCACTCACTCATTCGCTCTATCACTCACTCATTCGCCTCTCACTCAATTCGCTTATCACCCTCACTCACTCATCTATCACCTCTCACTCATTCGCTCTATCACTCACGTCACTCATTCGCTCTATCACCCTCACTCACTCATTCGCTCTATCACCCTACTCATATCGCGCTCTATCACCCTCACTCACTCATTCGCTCTATCACCCTCACTCACTCATTCGCTCTATCACCCTCACTTCACTCATTCGCTCTCATCACTCATCACTCATTCGCTCTACTCCTCACACTCATCGCTTCTATCACCTCGCTCACTCATTCGCCTCTCACTCACTCCTCACTCTACATCACATTCGCTCACTCACTCATTCGCTCGCGCTCACTCAACCCCTCATCACTCTCACTCACTCACTCATTCGTCGCTCTACTCACTCATCACTTCGCTCTATCACCCTCACTCACTCATTCGCTCTTCACTCACTCACTCAACATTCACTCATTCGTCATTCGCTCACTCATTCGCTCTCACACTCATTCGCTCTCACTCACTCACTCACTATCACTCTTCATTCGCTCACTCACTCATTCGCTCTATCACTCACTCACTCATTCGCTCTATCACCCTCACTCACTCATTCGCTCTATCACTCACTCACTAACTCACTCACTCACTCATCGCTCTATCACCACTACTCTATCACTCACTCACACTCTATCACTACATCACACCTATCACTCACTCTATTTCACTAACAATGTAATGGAATTACATATATACATATATTGGTGCAGGGAGACTTAACAGAAAGATTACATTCAGAAAATGTAAACAAAAAATGAAACAAAACTGTACAAAAAATTATTTGCCAAGAAATACACAAAAAAACTAAAATTCTATCTTCTTCAAAGTAAAGAAGGAAAAAAACGTAATAAAAGCATCTTGTATTGTAAAGCATTGCGTACATAATTAGTAGTAGTTTGGTCGAGTACTTCAGTTATAAGTAAGCATGGAGTTCAGTCACGTGTCTCGGTCCATTTACACTTCAGGTGATGAATATATATAGTCACTATTGCTTATTCTGAAATGTATTATACAAACTATACACTAGAGACGATGCTGTAGATGTCGGTGTCAGTCAAGTTGCGTGGAATGTAGTCAAGTTCTATGTCTTTTTTTGTTGTAAAGTTGTTTCATATCGAAAGTGTTTGGTTTAGTTCTTACAAAGTGCTAGTATGTCGTTGTAGGTTATTTTATTTACAAAGTACTAGCAGAATCCTAGTGTGAAGTCTAGTCCAACTCTCAGTTTTGTTCCAAGTCATAGCTCTATTTCTTCTTGGTTCCCTCTATCCTTCCCTTTCCCTATTCCTATTCTTTCTCCTCCTCTTCTCCTCATTTCCCATCTAACCTTTCTTCCTTCCACCTAATATTCCTCTTTTTTCCTCATTCCCAATCTAACCATTTTCTCCTTCCCCTTAATCTTCTATTCCTCCACCTTCTCCTCCTCCTATCTCTTCTCCTTCTCCTTATTCTGCATCTAACATTTCTTCCTTCTCCTCCTCCTTATTCCCCACCCCTTTGCCCACTCTCCCTACTCCCTATCCTCCTCTTATCTCTCTCCTTATCTAACCGTCTTTTCCCTTCTCTACTGCTACTATACTTTTCCCCATTACCTCTCTATTCCTTTTTATTCTTTTCTTCCCTATTATCCCTCCTATCAGTCTCTCCCATCATCTTCATTACCTTTTCTAATACATTTCTATTTCTTCTTCTCCTCCTTCTCCCCTATTCCTTCCTCTTTTCTCCTCCCCTAACCCCTTCCTTCCCCTCCTCCTCACTTCTTCCCCTCTTTCTCTCCTCCTATTCCCCATCCCTTCCCCTTCCCCCCTCCTTCCTCCTCCCACTTCCCCTCCCTCCTCCCCCTAACCCCTCCTTCTTCCCATCCCTTCCTCCCTCCTTCTCCCCATCCCTTCCTCCCTCCCTCTTCCTTCTCCTCCTCCCCCCCATCCCACCCTCCTCATCTTCCTTCCCTCCCCTCTTCTCTCCTCCTCCTCGTCCTCCTTAGAAGCACTCACGGTCGACGTCCCTGAAGATGTATGACCCGATGAAGGAGAGGACGATGACGGCCACCGGGAGCGCGTAGTCTGCTAGGGCCTCCCTCTTGTTGGCGTTCAGGTATGGTCTGGCGAGAACAGGGACATACGTTATGGGAGTCTGTTTAGGCCGGCGGCAGCGTTGGATAAAGCGCGGAATTGTGTCGTCTCGCGAGGAGCGCAAAAAAAGGGAAATGGGGAAAATAAAATGGGAGGTGGGAATGAAGTGTATTTTTTTTTGGTAGGTAGGAATTAAGTGTGATTTTAAGGTGATTTTTTTCTTTCTTTCTTTTTCGAATCGCGAGACGCATAGAAGGGGAATTGCAGTCGAGAATCATTTTAGAAATTGGATTGGGAGAAAAGCACTCACGTCTTGTTGAAGTTGTACAGCATGACGCCGAGCCACAGTGTACCGAACATGAGCAGAAGGTAGAGGATGGAGTTCTCACGCTTGCACACTTCGTCGACCAGCGTGAGGGTGGCGTTGGGGTCGTGGTAAGGCCCAGACACCGTGGGCGTGTAGGCGTCAGAATGATTCCCGAGGACGCTGTAGGCTGTCGCATTTAGGCTGGAGGTTTGGTTCAATGAGTCGGTGCTATTGAGTCCTCCTTGACATGCCGGACTGTAGTAGTTGGATTTGAAGTCTGTGGAAGGAGGCGGAGAGGAAGGTTAAAGGGCTGCTCGGCTCGGCACGTTTGGGTCTGAAACTAATTTGCATTACATGGTTTTGGGGGTTTTCTTTGGACCTAAGGCACGGTGATAATTCTTATGTGAAGCAAAAAAGAGCAAATGAACCAGATAAAAATAGCAATTACCCAAAAGCGGAAAAAATAACAGCAGACTAAAAAACAAGATTCACCCAACCCATATACAAAAAAGACCGCACCCCAATGAACCCCCTAAACAACCACCATAAAATAAACAAGTAACCATCGCCGCCAGGGCCCCTCACTCTTTCTGACGTCGTTGAAGGCATCGTTGCAAAAGGCGATGGAGATGAAGAGGGCGAAGATCTCCTCGGTGGACCGCGTGGACCAGCGCATCAGCCGGGAGACGTCGAACAGCGAGTAGATCACTAGGAAGAGGCTGTTCCATAGTCCCACCGCGCAGTACATCGCGTTGAAGTCTAATTTGAAGTCGTCGCAGATGTAGTATATGACTGCGGAGGGCAACGATAAGGTCAGGGAATGGCCGATAACGTGGGTGAGATAAAGCCTGGGGGAAGATAAGTGGAGGAGGAGGGAGGAGGGAGGGAGGGAAAGGTCAGGGGGTTAAGAGGGAAATCAGCATTGTGTTAAAGCAGGGCTCCCGAACCCTCTAGGTCCTCTGTACGCTGGCCGCTGAAACAGGTTCCCGAGCACTCCTAAATAGTGCGGAGAGGGAATAATGAATTTATATTGATTAGTAAGAACTCAGTGCGTCCTCAGTCCACAGATGATTCTGCATTGTAGATAACATCAACAGACTGACCTTCTTGAATCTATACGCATCTATTTATATATCTACATTACTCATACAGTATTTTGGCAAAACATGTCAGAACAATATACCAAAAAGCAAGTATCAGGTTCACCGTGATTAACCTTGATTTGGCAGAACGGTGCAATGCACAATTCTGCCAACACAGGTGGCTAAAGTGGCTAAACCTCGAGACCCACAAGCACCCCGGGGGATACATGAGCCCTAAGGTGGGAAATCATGCATTCAACCACAGGGAGGGAGGACATCAGCGCATGACGACATCGGAGGACGAGTCGGAGTGCCTGAGTGCCTTCCACCCTGTCTGGTGCCCCCTCTCCCCCTCTCCCCCCTTCCCCCCCCCGCCCCGCCGTCATCACCCTGAAAGGCCCTTCGCCTTAACCCGCAGGTCCAGGCGGTCACCCCCCCCCCCCCCTGATACAAGACGAACGACCCCCGTCAGCGACCACACCGGCTTTTTAAGAGATATAAAAAAAAGTTCCCTTGGCAAACCGGGGTCAGGGCAAGGGAAATCCTGTTTTATGGCCCCTGTTCTTAAAGCCCTTCGTGTCAGGGCAGTTCCTCGCGCGACGCGACGAGCGAGACCAGTAACCTCAGGTTGATTATTTTGCTTCATTTCCGGAGTTGTTCAAAGGGAGTAAAATGTTATTTCATTGATGACCCGCTCACCCACAGACGCGCAGACAGGCAGTGTATATATATATATATATATATATATATATATATATATATATATATATATATATATATATATATATATATATATATATATATATATATGTGTGTGTGTGTGTGTGTGTGTGTGTGTGTGTGTGTGTGTGTGTGTGTGTGTGTGTGTGGTGTGTGTGTGTGTGTGTGTGTGTGTGTGTGTGGTGTGTGTGTGTTTATGTATGTGTATATGTTTATGTATGTATATGTGTGTATGTGTATATGTGTATGTATGTGTATATGTGTATGTAATGTGTATATGTGTATGTATGTGTATATGTATATGTATATGTATAAGTGTAAGTATATGCATATATGTATATATATATGTATACGCATTAGTGATATATATATATATATATATATATATATAGAGAGAGAGAGAGAGAGAGAGAGAGAGAGAGAGAGAGAAGAGAGAGAGAGAGAGAGAGAGAGAGAGAGAGAGAGAGAGAGAGAGAGAGAGAGAGAGAGAGAGAGAGATAACAGAGAGACCGACAGATAGATAAATATATATAAACACGAGCTATACAGATATCGATAGATAGATAGACATAGACAGATTCAGTACATATAGTCTACAAGCCAGTGGTAAACCAAGCCACAGTAATCTGGTAATGATATTTTTCTTTTGACTCATGACTTTTGACTCATGAAGGCGGACAGAGTCAATTCCCGCTTGACCAACTTAAAAATGGGTTTATGGTAAATATACTTTGCAGAGAGTATGTTCCTGTCTATAGTAATGGTTGTGTGGATTGGAATGTGGTCGATTTTTCTTTCCTGTGAACGTGTGGGTAATTTTGGAGTAAAGTGTGGACGTGTTGTTCGTAGAATTGTTTGTATGAATGAACAAGAGGAAAGTGTGGGTTCATAGTTGTTTTTTTGTCGACTGATTGTCAGCGAATCAATTTAATAATCGTATTAAACATGCATCAACTTCTGTTCTCTTTTAGTCGAGAATCTTACTTTGTACAAGGATAAAAAACACGTAACTGCGTCAGAATTCACCTGGTTTGTGATGAAAAATCTTTCTGGGTTTGTGTCGGCAGCGGAGTTGGCTGAACTTACCCATTTTAGAGATAAATTACGGGTTACTTACTCTTTATATAGATGGCTAGCGGCGCCGTGGTCAGCTGCACCAGGAGAGGCTGACCCGAGAAGAGACCCCAGAATAACCCGCCGATGACCTGACCTATGATGACCTTTTTAACGTCTGAAAAGAAATGGAAAAAGTTGGGAATTTATGGTCGAAGCAAGAAATCAAACTCTCATATATTGTGGTATGAAGTTGACGCTGGTATATAACATGGCTGTGTTCGAATGTTCTAAAAGTTCTTTCATTTTCCACTCTATATTCTGTTAACTTTCTTATACTCCCTTCCTCTTCTCTCTTTACACCCTACCACCACCTTCTCCCTTTAAACCCTTCCTCCCCTTTCCTTCCCCTTCCTTCCCCTTTCTCCCTCACACCCTTTACGTATTTTATCCCACTTTGCTAATCCTGGTTTCGTCCCTTCATCCCCTCCCTATGCCCTCCCCTTCCCCACGCCTTACCTATTTTCCCGTGGGTGTTGTGGTCGTTGAGGACACCGAAGGCGATGGCGGGGAGGATGCAGGCGAAGTAGAGGAAGAAGGTTGTCGAGACGACCTTCTGCACCGTCTTGTGTCCCACGACGCCGTCCCTGTAGTCGGAGAGGTAGTGCGGCAACCGTCGTTCCAGGTCCTCCCGGAGCCCGCGGGCGAACGAGCAGCGCTTTTGCTGTGGGAGGAGGAGGGGGGGAGGGGTTAGGTGGGGCGGCTCCGGGTGGAGGGTACGGGTTCTGCGGGCGGCACGGCGCGCGGTGTCCCCGGCAGCCGCGTGGGTGGGACGCCGCAAATCAGGGTTTATTGGCGCGGCTTTGCATGAGGCTAAATGGCTCGGGGCGACGCGCGCGGCGGCCGGAAAGGTCACGGTTCCCCGCGCCGCAGCTGGAAGACATAACGACGCCGCGCAACAGAGGTCAAGGACGTGGAGGCACCGTCGTGCTGCGCGGGCGGTTACGTCACGGTGCCGGGCGGAGCGAGGGCGTCGGGAGAGCGGCCCGCCATTACTCACAATCAGGTGGGTCGCCCCGGCTTTTTCCCCAATTTCTTAAAAGTCCTCATTCACCAAACCGCGCGGCCAGACCTCAGCAGATCAGCGTCTGACTCACAGTTTCCGGCCCATAAAACCCTGTATCGGCGTCCCGGTCGAGATGACGTCCCCTGGATGCGGCGGGCGGCGTCTTCCGTTCGTGGGACGTCGGCCGGATATTGTTGATTTGATTTACGTCACGTGGTATTGGCTACTGCTATTGCCACGTCTGTTACGGTTATTTCTGACATCCAGGATACGACACGAAGATAATACAAGGAGAAAATTAAGAAAAATAATAAGAAAGATAATACAAGGAGAAAATCATAAGGAAAAAAAATCGCTCGCGGAACTTACGTATTCGAAATCATCGGACTTCTCGTGGTTCATCTCGATGCGCTTGTCGTTGCTGATCTGCTGCTCCTCAGCCAGCTCCTGCGAGTGCTTGATGATCAGCCTCTTGAAGTCCTCCTCCGTGGTCGCCTCCAACAGCCGCTGTCGGAAGTCCATGTCGGCGAAGATGGTGGCGAAGGTGCGACCGGTCTCGAGGGAGTTCTTGGTGCCTTTCTGTAGGGGGAGAGGGAGAGAGAGGGGGTTAATGACGTAGGGGAGAGAGAAGGGGTTAATGACGTAAGGGAGAGAGAGGGGGTTAAATGACGTGGGAGAGAGAGGGAGAGAGAGGGGGGTTAAATGACGTAGGGGAGACGTAAGGGAGAGAGAGGGGGTTTAATGACGTGGGGAGAGAGAGAGAGGGGGTTAAATGACGTAGGGGGAGAGAGGGAGAGAGAGGGGGTTAAATGACGTAGGGGCGAGAGGGGGAGAGAGGGGTTAATGACGTAGGGGAGAAGGGGAAGGAGAGAGGGGGTTAAATGACGTGAGGAGAGAGAGGGGGTTAAATGACGGGGGAGAGAGGGAGAGAGAGGGGGTTAAATGACGTAGGGGAGAGAGGGAGAGAGAGGGGGTTTAAATGAGGGGAGAGGGGGGAGAGAGAGGGGGTTAAATGACGTAGGGGAGAGAGGGGAGAGAGAGGGTTAAATGACGTAGGGGAGAGAGGGAGAGAGAGGGGGTTAATGACGTTGACGTAGGGGAGAGAGGGAGAGAGAGGGGTTAAATGACGTAGGGGAGAGGGGGAGAAGAGAGGGGTTAAATGACGTAGGGGAGAGAGGGAGAGAGAGGGGGTTAAATGACGTAGTAGGAGAGAGGAGAGAGAGAGGGGGTTAAATGACGTAGGGGAGAGGGGGAGAGAGAGAGGGGGGTTAAATGACGTAGGGGGAGAGAGGAGAGAGAGGGGTTAAATGACGTAGGGAGAGGGAGAGAGAGAGGGGGTAAATGAGTTGGGGAGAGAGGGAGAGAGAGAGGAGGGGGTTAAATGACGTAGGGGAGAGAGAGAGAGAGAGAGGGTTAAAATGACGTAGGGGAGAGAGGAGAAAGAAGGGGTTAAATGATGTAGGGAGAGAGGGACAGAGAGAGGGATTAAAATGACGTAGGGGAGAGAGAGAGAGAAGGGGAGAGAGAGAGAGAAGACGTAGGGGAGAGAGGAAGAGAGAGGGGGTTAAATAACGTA